GAAAATAGCCGAACACGATAACGGAGTTTGAATGAAGGAGAATGAATCCATAGATGCTCGGAATGCCAGTGCTTTAACTGAAAGAAACATCAATCACAAAAATTTGCATAAAATGCGGAACTGACATTCACCAACATACGTAGAATAATAACATAAGAACTTTTGATAAAAATACAAAATCTTTTCTAATCTAATGAAAAAAATCATTTCAGAGAAAAGATGCACACTAAATATGTTTGAAGGAAATTCATCTTTGCTCAAGCTCATTCCGTTTAGCAAAAGCCTTTCAAAGCGTTTACATGGTATTGAGAGAGGAGTGACGCCTCTCACACTTGCTAAGATCGCCTTTCTTTGGTATTTTGATCAGGTATCCTTCTTTCCAATCTGTCGATACTTGTTCTTCATCCTAAATCTTGTTGAAGAGGACGTGAAATATTTTTGCAGTTGCTTCCACGTCTGCTTCCATTGCCTCAGCTGGAATTTTGTCTACTCAGGCTACTTTGCCGCCCTTGATTTGTCTGATGAACCTGCTGATCTCTTCAGGTCCATGAACATCGACTGAAAGGTCCGTAGATGCGTGTGCCTTGGCTTTCTCTGCTCTTGTTTGACTGATATTGATTTCTGCCTTCTTGTTTCTCCTTCCTCGATTTTTTTCAAAAGTAGCGACAGAGATCCATTCCTAGTAATGGTGCTTCTTGTGACTCAAAATTTCGTGAAATTTTGAAGTGATTGCGTCTTAGATCCCTTTCAAATCGTTCTCTATGGTCATTTCCTCTCTATTGCAAGGCCTGGAACTTTTTGCTGAGGGCTATCCTAATTTCGATGAGTTTCCCAGTATCCAGAAGAAACGCCGTGATATACTTTGTGTGGTCTGTCCCGTTATCCAGTGTTTCTTGAGTTTCAGTCAGATTTTCGCAACCAGCAAGTGGTGATCTGAAGCTATATCGTTTCCTCTTTTCGTTCTCACATCGATCTACAACCCTAAGCACAGGACATGAATATAATAGCCTCAATGAGTGAACTCACCTCACAAGCAAAAAACCTGCAGAGGCCAGTTCCCACAGAACTACCCAAATCTGTTTGAACAACTTGTTTGAAAATCCGACAACGGCTGTTGCGGAGAAGTCACACCAGTTGATGAAACGAACCTCCGAATGCCCGCATAGCAACCTAGACGGACAGACGTGAAGAATGTAAGAAATCAGGAATATGTGCTCTCAGTTGGATCTGAATATCATAATTCTAACTGAAACATGGTTAAACCTTGCTATTGCAGAAGATGAAGTGATCTTGCATGACATAAAAATCTTCCGAAGCTGTCGGGTACACTAAACAGGAGTCGGAGTGGCTATATACATAAACGGACACTTAAAAGCTGAGCGGTTGTGATACACTCAACTAACTGAGGTCACAGAATCATGTCGGTGTTGTCTTCACATACCTGATTGGAGTGATTTACCTATCTCCTTCAGAAAGACAAACTGACTGAGGTAATACTCCAACTGTCACTTCTGTGGTTTGATCAAATACTCCTAGCTGAAGATTACAATACCGCATCTCTAAATCTCAGCAATCAAGGTACGATTCCCACAAGTGGGTTCCAAAGACGACTTGGCACAGCCATTAGACTCTCTGGTCTTACTGAGCATGTGTGCAGTGCCACTAGATGGACAAAAGGAGGAAAGTCCTCAAACGTGGATTATTTGTTAACAAATGATCAGCTCCCGGTAGAGGATGTTCAAGTGCATACACCAATAGGAAGTAGTGACCATGACAGAGTCCTGTTTAACATGGTCATAAACGAAACACTCACACAGGACGAACACAAGCCCTATATTTGCTACACCGAGGAAAATTATACACGAATGAAAGAGACCCTCCTGCATGCCCCAGAAACTACCTTGAGAATAGAAAGTTTCGTACCAAGGTAAAAAGATTTCACCTGAGCTGACGAGTATCCACATCAGGAGTTTCATGACTTAAACTATTTACACCCTCAATGTAAGTCCACTCCCTAATACCTACTCAGCACGCGATCTCGGATAACGCCTCACTGGCAAAGAAGCTCATTTATCACACATGAGACCAACGTGTTGCAACGGAATTTCACTTAACGATTTGTGAATGCACATTGCAAATGAGTCCCACACTTGAACGTAACGATCATCCATTGGTTTGATATTGATGAGTTCATGATTCTTTTTAAAATCTACAATATTCACCACTCCATATTAACCGTCCTTGTTGTATAGATAACTCTGTGAATTGTTTCAATGCAACTTAGTGAATCGCATCAAAAGATAACTGTGGATTATTATTCAATAATTGTGTTTGTTAGTTTGTTTGTTCACTCAACCATCAAGTCGGTTATTATTAATGTTTTAATCTGATTCACCTGTTCCTGTTATTTATTATTTTTCTTCGTAGTTTACTTTTATTCAAACTATTCAACGAGATAGAAATGATTTTGATTCAGTAGAATGGTAAGTGTACCAATCAAAACACGATTTCATAAATTTCATTATTATTTTCATCAATAATTTTAGATTATCCAATCAGAAATAAATATTTTTTATGAAATAAAATTTATAGAAATTTGATTGGTGCATATTTATATATAAATCACATTTCTTAATGATTCATTTAATCAGGAGTTGTGGTGAGTGTTCACTCAGATGTTTTGATCAATAAATGTAGTAGTATATTATAACTTCATTTTGACTGATTGACATTGTATTATTCATTTCAGATATTTCAATTGAGAATAAGAATAACAACATGCTATCCAGTCGGTTGATATTATTTAATTTAATTGGAATTTCATTTCTAACTTACTTGGAATGCCAAACAACTTGTAATGAACTGAGTAAAATTGGATTCAGTTTATATAACGCTAGTGTTTATACGAACGAAACTTATGTACAGGTAAGAGTGTGGTTGGAAAAATAATAATGAATAACTAGCTTGATCATTACTACTATTCTCAGATAGTAAGTCTCAATCAGAATCCTCCATATGGTAATGCAAGCTTTCAATACGAGAAGGGATACCTAGTGGTAAGTAATGTATTTTGTGAAACAGAACTGCAACAAATAATTTTGCACTTTATTTTTATTTAAGTCTTTTAGTCCACCATTCAATATTGAATTCTATGGACTATACCACAATGCGATCAGTATAGCAGATACGGAAAAGTAATTATATGTCAAGTCAATGAAGTTGCTTAGTACCATGTTTACATACTAATAATTTCCAAATGTTGTCGAAACGTTTGTTGTTGATTTGTAACTTGGAAGTATATCGAGTTCCCTGATTTTATTTATTGTAAACAGGTTTAATATTTATTAAAATATCTGAGGTGGTTCAAACAATTGCTACATATTCTTACAAACAACGCAGTTATAATATTCAGATTGCAAGTGAAGGTGAGTTATTCAATCAAAAGTGAAATTAATTTTTGGAGTACACTAAATGAATGCAATAAAAAATAACGCCGTTGAATGCTGATTCAGTAGTCAAGAGATTAGGCGTTTAAAGGGTTCTATCCTCGCTCATGAATTTGTGGATGCTAATTGTTCATGACGCTGGTTCTAGGATGGAATGATGGACACTGAGTCAGACTGCTGAATCTAGAATCCACCTAACTCTGGGTTGATTTGGTCGATGGATTGAAATTCATGCAAAGATTACAATGGTATACAATTTCCATGTTCATTTCACTACAGTCAATCGCCTGAATGTTGGATTGAAAACAGTAGCCTACTGTAAAGCTCATTCTTCTTCCATGGATTTGATGAATTCTATATATTTTCATTATTTCAGATAAATTAGTGGCTGTCAAATGGTTATCTCAGGATAATGCAGGTAAATTACGTGTTTGCAATATGATCCTTCAGTTTATGCAAAAATTTCACAACAATCTATCTATTCGATCATCTCAATCACTTTCGTTTCATCTACTGAACCATCAGTTTCAAGTTTTAAATTAGTCATCAAAAATGAAATAATCTGTATTCTAAGTATTTAGGACATTTTACGATAGGTGAACGAAACCATTGATTGACAGGTGGAACGTGATGCAAACACTGAATGTCATTTAAGTGACAATTTTGCATGAGACATTCTTTGAAATCTTATTTATATGGGTACAACATTGAAGCACACTGCCTTATCAGAACATTCACTCATCTCAAAGTTATTCGTAGAGTAGAAACCTTTTGAATGATGACATCATTTCGATGACATATCTTAGCAAAACTTATAATCCGACTAGGCAACACGTCAAAATAGCGAACATGTTAGCAATATCTAGAAAAATGTAATTTTTCTGCCCGACGAAATACAACGTTAGAGTTCAAATCGACTTATGAAAGCAGTGTTCGGTAGTTATGACCGATGATTTCAGGGGACTATAGAAATGTGAATGAAAATTCTGCAGCTTCGAAAACATCTTTTGAGAAGCGTGATAAATTTCAGTTTAAACTGCAAACTGAATGTATAAAACGGATTATGAATCGAAGTGTTTGACTAGTGTATCCAAAAATATATAATTGCTTCCCTAACCTGCCAACCGTTTAACAGTAATCACTGTGATCGTATAGACGCGAAACATTTCGAATATCACTGCGAATCTGAAGAAATGTGATTGTTTCAAGAACATCTTCATAGTGTTGCATTCGACAATAATACGTACTAATTAATGTTCTTTCATATGATAAACATGCCTAATGATCTCTTTGAAACACAATCCAGTTCAGGTTTATGCTTATCTATATGCTAACGGGAACATATCTTTGTACTACGAAAAGGTAAGTCAAATACTTGAATACTATACAAAGTGAATTAAAGAGTAATTAAGCAACAAAAATGTCAATGTTGAGTCTTTCATTAACGTTTTTATATGAAATTGTGAAGTTATGCCAACACTGTGGATAGATATGCATTGAATGGAGGAGATTATCTGTTTACAGATGTTGACTCGAATTTCCATAACTTATTTTCAGATACCTAATGAAATAGCTCCCAGTGAAATTACTTCGCAGATTGGGATGAGTTCACCCTGTAAAGACAATGAACTGAGTAAGAAACATTATAATGAACTTTGTTTTTGTTTGAATGTACAAGGATCTTGTTCATCATTCATTTGTTAACTTAACTTCAACAACCAATCGTTATCTGTTTTAAACTGAAAATCCAGCTCAGTGAATATTACTAGTGACGATTACCAACAATCAACGTTTGTCGATTAGCGCAATTAGCATTATGTGTTTTCAATCACCACAAATAATGCCTTACTCTAGTTAAGCCACCGTAATTCATCGTTTTCACTCAACAGCAAAGTGAACCAATCCATGCTGATCTCATTCATATAATTATCAAATCTGTACCTGTAATCTCCGTGTTTATAGGTTTTAGAATTCACATCTCTCCTCGAATCATTCACAACAATTTAAAACATAGTTAATGCCAAAGTCACCTCGATCGGAAGACTAGTTTACTGATTGATATCTCAATTTGTGTTAATTGACATTACTTTACCATGTGATTGTCCTACTTCCATCTCCAGGTAACTGTCAATTAGATATTTGTGTAAAACAGCTTTACATATAGCTGAAACAAGTTTTCTAAAATGTGGAACTCAGTTATTCTGTGGTGAAGAATAAATATACTGACTACATCATTTTTAATACAACATATAAATTCACTTAATCAGAACTTGAAGTAGAAAAGCATGCTGATTAGAATTCATTATTTTTCATTGGAGTAACAAATAAATTGATTTCTTTGAATGACCGAATCTATATTACACCTAACTTGAAAGCTCACAGCAAATCCTGATGAATTGTTCTACTGAAATTTAAGATTGAGACAGCTTACATTAAAAGGCACATATTAATTGGAAATTAAGAGGAGATAACCTTAGATATCACATGGACAGCATTATTTTGTTCCAATATCAGATGTTCAGATTGATTTAGATTACTAATCGATAAGGATTTATGATTGCTGAAGACACGGCTTAAATTTTACATGAAGACCATCGTCGACTTTCATTAGGTGCCACATAATCACCTCTAATGAACAATGTAGACTGAACAGCCAACATTCCAGTTTATATTTGTACAGCTATATCAACATTCAATTGTTGATTTGCATCGGAGAAAAAGATGAATCAGAATACGTTTGAAATCGTTCTATAAATTGTTCTAGATGAAGTATATTCACTTCGTAAATCTCATCTTCTTCAGAAGTATAAACATGAAGTATGTAATCATACATGGTGAGGCGAACGTCGAAATCAAACCAAATCATGTATCAGAATTTGACTAGATCACAAAGCTTGTTGATGATTCGACTAGTGTATAATACAAATTTTCCGACTAACGACCAACTAAACAGAATGTGATTGATCCCATAATCGTTATCTTTATTGTTGATCAATGGTACCTGACGATGTCGAATCTCGATCAGGTTCGATATTTTATGTTAAGGTCCATCAATAAACATTATCATCAGAGTGTTTTACATTCTCCTATCCGAATGAATCACAGTACACAACAGACTGTGTTCTAGATAATGAATTCAATGAAATATATATATATATTGTGTGGTTAAAATTTATTAATTAATGTTAATTTTGACAATATACATTTAAAATTACTTACTAAAACTTTTTGTTTGTTTGCTGTAAAAATTTGCAAAATCACTTATAAACCAAGATAAAACATTTAACGCTGTTTTTTGTCTACTAAGCTGGTGAATACGCCATTTCCAATGCAATCAAAGTTCCGAAATCACTAATCAAATCTGGCACATTAGTGCAGTTTCGACCAATGCCAAGTATGTTAAACAATGAGTAATTTTAGCCAACGTAACGTTTTACTGGTTCTATTTACATTAGACTCATATAATTTGTGGTATTTATAGTGGCTGATCACAAATCACGAAAACTCACCTGTCTCAACATGTTCTTTACGATGCGAGATTACATTTCTTCTCATTATCATTATCATTTGGTTATGTTCTGAATTAGTTCCATCTAGTCCACATCACCTCAATCGATAATATAGTGAAACAACAATTAGTCGAGAACATTATCAAGATGATCACTTCTTTTCCACTTGCGCTGAATAACTCTTATACTGAATTTCCATGAGGTGTTAAATCACACAAACACTCAATTTACTTCATATTACTTTTCATCAAAGACCGGATTTCTGAACCTTTTACACAATTATATCAATACCCTACAAGTGTCAGGTAGAGGTCAATCACTTTGAAACGAAGTATCATCATCAGACTCCATGAACACATTCGTAGCATCGAAATTACTCGTTATAATGGGTGAACTGTTATAAAATGGTGTTCATCATAAGTAGCAGTATTGATAATTTGTTTCACTGTTCTTCTATAACTTAAACTACTGCTATCTTGTTTCCACAGAAGTTTGTTCCAAACAACAATCACCTGAAAGTTGCTTTAACGCAACCACACCTAAATTTAAATGTTATTGGTGTCCAACTATCAGCAAATGTAGCAATGGTCAAGATATTCACATCCAGGAGTGGTTAGCAAATGACTGTCATAAAACGGCAAGTACTTTTCATAATGAGAAAATTGTTTTTGAAATTCTGATTTCAATTGTTATCAATGTCCATTGAACACTTGAAATTCCTACGAAATGCATACGATTAAATTGTTGCGAGCAAGTGTTGCAAAGCATTTATTTCTTAAATTGGTTAGAGAAAGCGTTCTAATAATTGACGTGTCAGCTAGTCGGGTTAATGTGTGTTCTTGTCTTTGTTTATGATGTTTTGAATGTGCAAAATGTGTCTGTTTCTTGAATTCTGTTCGTTTACAAATGCTGATAGCAATGTAGAATGAATGAAGTATTCACTGATAAATAATGATTATTTGATTTCATATTTCAGAATATTTCTCAACTTCAACGTTCAACAAATGCAACTATCGTTATTGTGGCAATCAGTGTTACTTTGCTCATTATATCTGTAATTGCCGTATTTCTCTATTTGCTTATTCGGAATCGTCGATTGTTTGTAAATTCTTCCTAAATCATTTCTAGTACTGATCGTTTAAATAATAAATTCTGTTGAAAGGAACTCGATATGAGATTGTTTTGTATTTCAGGAACTCATTTTGATTGTTTGCGTTAGTGGTTTGTCAATATTAAAATAACAGACATTCCTAAAAGTTAATTAAATAATATGTTCATTTGTGGATTTCACAACCCTATTTTGTCGAAAACAAACTTTCTTATTGCACATTAAACAAAAGCGATAGTTGAAACTATTTAAAATCTAGCACGGAATTTAAAAATTCCTCATTTAGAAGAGGTTTGATGCCCGGTCAATAAAGCTGAATTTCGTCGGAATCAACGTGATCGATGCCTCATTTTGTCAACGAGAGAAACAATTAATTTGAGTACATCGGATTTTCATAGAGAAAACAGTGAATAGAATAAATGGCTATTAGGAAGAAGTAGATAGGTAGGTCCAGTCTGCAATTACCTGGAGAATCCTGGTTAGTGGTCAATAGTTTATGCAAGGTAACCAATGTAATTTACTAGGTAAGCCTAAAGAAAGTACATGTCCTATATAATTTGAACTCTTCCATGCTCCTTACACCTCGACTTTGCACAGAAGCATCGCACAATCTATTGTGGAATGAAAGCAACTACAAGTGTTTGTGATCCAACATATACATTGAGTTTTAATTCATATGTTGAGTAAGTTTTTGGTTGGAAATCGATTAGCTTTTCCATGATTTGACCAGCATGTAAAACGTTTGTAGAACATAATATGAATTTTGATTGAATAAGTGTAAATTTATGTGATGAAGATTCGTATATTTTGCGAATAAATAAGGAGTGTCTGTGAGGTGATGTAATACAAACTACCAGAGCTAGTGAAATTCAACATATACAAATGATTGAGTCAATGTGAAAACTCCTAAAATTTCATATTACTCGAAACTGTTCAAGTTCTTTTGACTCTGAAAGTCAATAGGATACGTTAGAGAAGTAGTAGCTTACTTTTGTATAGAATTCGCAAAGTAGGGATAAACTGGAAAATTCAAACAAAGATTCTCTAGTTCATTCAGATTAACACAAGTTTATCAAGTATATAGTTATTTATCGAAATATGAAGAGAAATGTTCACTTCCTTGTTTGGATCGTTTCAGGGATCTTAGATTCTTGATAAAATTATGTAGGTCAATCGCGATAGGGTCATACATTGATGTGTTTAGTTTTTGTATCATATCCAGAGTTCTGATTTTTCATGTAGCGAAGATTATTGAATGATTGTAAGGTGGTTTAGGACTTAAGCAGAATGACCTACTGATCATGCTGTTTCTATACGCAAAGAATATTTCAGAGTTGATGGATAACATGGCTGCTGTTGTATATAACTTCTTTATTCGCATTCCTATTGAGACAAATCTTCTGAATGTTCGTAGTAACTTATATTCTAGTACATCACTGATGAAATCACGTGAATTGTGAATGCTAATATCATTCATACTTATAACGGTTTATATTATCTAACAAACACCGGAAAGCATAGACTTCTTAATGTGCTTTCCTTCGAAATTTATCTTGTATAAATCAGTTTGTCATTTGCAACGAAGTAAATGATATGTATGTACATTGAATAATGAAATAAAAACGGAAACTTGCAATTTGTGAGCATACCAAGAATGGATGTACCTGCACCAGTGTTAACGATATGGAGTCACATTTATCAAGGAGTTTAATCACTGTTTATGATAATCATGAGTACCTCACCCGGGCAATTTCTTCAGTAAGTGGGTCACAAATAATTGTGGAAACATACAAAATATTGCATTATTGAGTCGGAACACGATGGGTATTCCATGTTACATAAAAGAAGACAAATTGAGTAATCACATGAAATTCTATTTCTTTTAAATATATGAATACTAAACAAACCACTAGAGTTCGTTATTGATGGCAAAACTTCAAAGAAGACAACAAACTGCTTGTTCACTGTGAAATAATCAGTCATTCACTCAATAATGACAATTTCAAAGAGGAGAAATCTGTACAGAATGAGAGGCAGAAACAGGTAATGGAATTATAATGGATGCGTTGATGCAGTTAAAAATTATTTGTTTGGTACATGGAGAAGCCTCGCTTCACTCAGATGAATATGTCATATGCACCTCCAGCGATTTATAACGGAAACATACAACCGCTTCACGAAACAGGACTTCTCACTGTTTTTACTAGTGATCATCTACTGATAGCCTACACCATATGTAGAATAATGTAGAAGGTTCTAACTCACATGCATGAAATTTTGCATAGAAGGAGAATAGTCACTTCAATCAAATGACTAATGTTAGAAATAGTCGATTCGAAGTAATGGAGAGATACTGTTAGATACTGTTGGATATCATATGAATCAGGTTGTCCGTGAGCAGCCATTTTGAAATGAGTATTGAGAAGCAAATTAGTAGGCACATCAGGATAACGGGACGTCCGCTATTTTGTAATCATTGCCGTGCCTACTGAATTCAATGTAAGTAGTTCAAGTGATATCAATAATAATTGACGTACTCATTCAATCTTACATCGAAACAAATTAATAAATCTTACAATTGATAAATGAAGTGAAAATGATATGTAAAGGAGTTAACGTCCTCTAATTCACCTCTATCAAGAGTGATTTGTTTGGTGCATGTTGTGTTGAATCGAAGAATTTTGCTTTTTCCCTTATGTATGTTGAGACCAACTGCTGCAGAGGCTGCTGCTACACTGGTTGTCTTCTCTTGCATTTGTTGTTGCCTGTGCGATAGAAGAAGAGCCAGGTCATCTACGAAGTCCAGATCGTCCTGCTGCATCCAAGCTGTCCACTGCGTTCCGTGCTTACCCACAGGTGTACACAAATTTCGTTTATTCATACATCACATAAACGTCCTTGGGACAGTCACTTGATGGTTGTACACAAATCTGTGTTACGGGGAATGTTTAATATCATTGTTTTTTTAATTTAAGCCTGTAGTTGAAAATAATCTACTTTGTTTCCCTGTTCAGTTTACTGACCAGACTTCGCTTACATTTTTATTCGAATATCTTTTAATATTCACTGACATTGTTGATCGTTAGCTCTGCATTACACTTGAGTTTGTCAGTGACCGGTGTAAAACTAGTAGCTTTGATATTGATAACCATGCTGAGAAATATAGGTATATAATTTTCGAACTGGTTCCAAGTATGAAGCTGTGTCTAACAAACTTACTTACTCTCGATCTTTTACTTTCTCCTGTTCGTTCGCCGACTTATGAAGTCTTCAACAACCTAGTAGAGGCACAGCAAATGTTAATGCATCATATAAATTCTCAGAATTTATATCAGTCAAATACAAAGAACAAGTCATCGCATTCCCAATTATCGTACAACATTTTCCTTGAAAGTTTGACTGAGCAACATATAGATTGAACTGTAATTCACATGTTGAGTAAGCTGTTAGTTGTGAATTGATTAGCACTTCCATGATTTGAACAGAATGTAGAACTACTGTAGAACATAATACGAATTTCGATTGAATAGATGTATACTTAACTGACAAAGATTCGTATATTTTGCGAACAAATAAGGAGTGTCTGTGAGGTGATGTACTAGAAACAACAGAAGCTAGGGAAATCTAACGCTTACAAATGATTGAATTATTGTGAAATCGCTTAAAATTTCAAACAAGCATTATCTATTTCAACCACAGTAATACAAGTTCATCAAATAATGACTCGTTTACCCATTAATGTGTAGAAAAGTTTACTTCCCTGTTTGGATTATTTTAACGATTTCAAGTTCTTGAATAAATTGCTGTAAATTGATCGCAAAAAGGTCATATATTGATTTGTTAGTTTACATAATAAATGCGGAGGAGTGATTTTTCATGTTGATTGAATAATTTGTCATGCCTTGAAATTTCTCTTGTCTAAATCAATCTGTCATTTGCAATGTTGTATTTGATACCTATGTACATTGGTTAGTGAAATAAATATGGAAACTTGTAATCTGTGAGAAGACCAAGAATGGATGTACCTGCATCAGTGTTAACGACTTGGAGTCAGATTAATCAAGGAGTTGAATCATTGGTAATGATAATCATGCAAACTTCATCCAGGTAATGAGCTATAAATTGTGATGCCTATGAAGTTAACTTGACGTCCGTTATTTTGTGATTATTGCTATGCCTACTGAATCGACTGTAAGTCGTTCAATTGATATCTTCAATAATTGACGTACTCATTCAATCTTTTATTCAAACTAACTAATAAAACATACTGTTGATAAATGAAGTGCAAATGAGTCATGAAATTAACCCACTATTGATTGTGAAGACGTGTTTGGAGGTTAAAGGTTGTGGTTACGTTGTCATTGAATGGTTTTCAAGAAAACTCTATAATTCTGAATAGTTGGGAGAAAAACTGATTATAACAGAAAGTTGAACAATTTCAGATATTTCTTATAATGTAAACTGATGCTTCAATAACCTAGCTATTATTGAAATCAACAAAGAGTGTGTGTGTGTGTATTTTGAGAACTACGAGTAAGCAGTGTGGAGGATAATCAGGTGGTTGACTCATTTATTATGTTTGCCTAACTGAGATGACGAAGAAAATAAATGGATGGCGACTAATAGAGCAAACTCATGTTGAGAACATATTTGCTTCAGATTCGAAGTCTCTCAAATACTAATATTCATTTTTATTTGTATGTGATTCTAAAAGTTCTGAGCTTTCGTTTCATGTATTTATTATTGAATCTCATACTCCGCTTTATTGTAACGCATGCATAACCCTTGTTATCTATTATTCTATCCTAAATGTCTCGTTAGAACTAAATAATGTACTTCAAAATATTTTTGCGTTTCGATTTCGCTGAGGATAGATTTGTTCACATGTCATTTTGGATAAATTATTCAGGAATAAATCCAGTAGTGTTTCAGTCGATTTTTCTTCTTTCTCTCTTCATAGTCTTCGGAGTGATAGGATAGTTTTATTTGCTCTGCTCAAGGCTGTTCAGTCGAAACTGGA